TTTATATTATAACAAAGTAGTGGCTTTCAAAAATAGAAGGGAACATGAACAATGACTTGAATTACAAATTCGGAAAAGAAATCATATTGTGCAGTAGTCGAGTAAATTTTTGCAACTTAGAAGAAGCATAAATTATGGGCAAATTAACTTTTCAGATCCTTTAATCAGGTTTTTGCATCAGTCTCCAGATATCACTTCTTAGCAAAGTCCGAAAAAATTTAGCGATAATTAAAAGAAGAAAGTTTTATTGGAATAGAAGCGGTTCATATATATTGAGTCCAATTTTCTTTGCTAGAAGCAGTCTATTCCTTACATTAAATTTAATCACTGTACTTATCACCGGTTTTCTATTTGATACCAGCGTAAAATTACGATCGCCAGCACAATTATATTAGCAGTAATGAAAGTAATAGCATTTTGGATTTGCTATTCTGCAAAAAAATTTTCAACGGCATTTCCCGAAAAAAAAAAGCGAACAAATTTTTTTTTTTGTAGGAAGTAGTTTCCATTGTTTTGTTCTCTGCTTCTTGTAATTCGTAGTTCCTTTCCTCAAAATTATGTGCTGTGGTTGTCGAGAAACATAGGAAATCTAAGGTAAACCTTAATTCAGCAACCAACCAGGTGAAACAGTAGGTTTTTAGATTTCTTTGTGACTTCAAAATGTGTATTAGTGTATAATTTTAACAGAATAAAGCACAATATGCAGAAGGCACTGAAATGAAGATCAGTCCTTACACGCAGATTAATAATTTATTAACATTTTAAAGTAGAATACAACTATCAATTTTAATATGCGTTTTTTTAGGACCCTGTGGCGAACTTCTTGACGGAACGTTGGGCTGACAACAAGATTCAGAGCGCTAGAAAATGGCCAAAATTTAATATTTAGAACAAGCATTATTTATAAAAAAAATTGTGCACAGTACTAAGTTTTCTTTTACTTGTAATTGGCTAAAGGATGATATATGACAAGTGCTGTACAGAAGATTTTTGTCAAAAACCTTCTAACTAAATCAATACCGATTTAAGGTATGTTCTTTTAAAAAGCATTTTTTGGAAAAGAAACTGGTGTAGAGAGAAAATAGCTTACGTTGAACAGTGATTGATGTTATAGTACTTCTCCACTAGCGCGATGCCCATAGAAACACAAATAAAAAGAGTAAGAAAGAAATGCTATAGAATCTCTTAACACCTTTGTTGGAACCAAAGAGCCTTGTTCTGAATACCTCCTGTTGTTTACACTTCTTATTCTTCTTTTATATGCATTTATTATCTTTTGAAATTTTAGTTAGGAATTCATACTCAATTTTCTTTACAAGGTTTTGTAAACTTCGGGGCGAGAAAAGAAGATAAAGCTAAAGAGAAGAAGCCGCTAAAATGAGCAATATATGAAAATGAGTATAAGCAGACTGGAACAGTGATACTATTAGTCACCCTACCACCAGTTATTGTAGCTTTTTGTGTACCTTTTCAAACACCTAGTGAAATAATGCGTATTATTGTTAATTTATAATTTTTATGTTTTTCTGCTGGGTTTAATTACCCAAGTTTGAGCTTGCATTGCTCGAATAAATCATCGAAGTTGGTGTTATTGGTGTTATTGCAAGGCCTGCGTGGCAATACAGAGTGAATTACAATTGAAGCAAGTCACTGCAAGCAAAGGAAAACCTTTACAGACGAAGCTCAGTTTCTTATAGGCAGCTTTTAGAGGAACCAAGTGACTCAAACTGTCACATTCAAGAGTAAGAAAAACCCCGTCCGGAATTAAATTGCTGCGGTTGTCTACTGCTTCAGGAGAAGAAATTTAACACATAGAACTAAATTTTCAGCGAAAAAGTCATACCGATCATTTTAATAAAATTTTTCGACATTGCGTAGTAATAAAATTTTTGGTTCTAAACTGCATTGACAAAGGGTACAGAAATTTTAAGAAAATTCCGCAAATGAGAAAATTGCAAAGAAACACAGAACCAACCGTACGTTAAAAGCTCCAAGCAAGTTTGACTTAAAAGTTGGCTACAGAGTGGAAGAGTCGGAAAAGAATGACTTGCTCAGCATTATTTTCAACATTTATATTGCTTTTTGAAGAACGTTGCTTAGCCGATTGTTTGATGGTACTCTTATAGTTTAGTTGCAGCATTAATGAAAAGAAACCTTTGAAAATCATTGTAGCCGCATAGTTTAGAGAAAAGCACTGGTATAAGAACAGCTATTAGACAATGTTCAAGATTTTTGTTGACTGCCGATTATTTTGTCAACCTTTTATTTCTTTGCTTTTTAAGCGAAAAACGATTTTTTACAAGCACAATTAGTTAAACCGCCGAATTTAGTGGGATATGATTAGTTCTGGCAACATGGGCAAAGTTCCTTCTTGGAAAACAGCAGAGTAGACGATAATTGAATAATTTGCAGCGCAGAAACATTTTTCTCAGGCAGTTTTAGTTGGCTTTTTCTTCAGCAACAGCTGATTTATTTGTTTGAAAAAAACACCAAATTTCCAGATAATTTCAGAATTTACGTTCGGCTTAGACGCAAGAACTAAAATGAAAAAATATGCGAAATGTTCTAGTTGAGGGGTCATATAAGTCAAATATTGAAAAAATGAACAAGGAAATGAATTACCCAAACTAAATTTATTTGTGTAATTTTAAGAAACAAAACTTCTGTAATTTGCTGGAATAAAAGATTGTCGAATGAGTTTTTGCGTATATAGTACGATCTTTTTGGTAATTCAGTTAGTAAAGAAGTTGTTGGGAAAACGATGCCAGCGGCCTAATTACACCTTAACTTTCAAAAAAATATTGATGAAAATGTAAGTTTATAAAAAATATTTTTTGCTAGCGTCAATGCTTCCAAGAAAAGAACTGTATTACTAATTGTTTATTTGAAATATAACGAAAAAGTGTCATAATTTTGTGATACATTCTGTTTCTATCTCTTTATCATTCTATTTTTATTCCTTTAAAAACTTTGGGCACATAATTCAATACTGACACTAAATACCCCTTTCTGCAAAGCTTAACAGAGTGTTTGCAAGCAATGAAACAAGTACTGGTTTAATCCAGAAGCTCTATTTTCAAAAAATGTTCAGTAAATTATTCTTACCACTTTTTGTATGTTTTCAGACACTTTTCTTCCCTTTCGTATAAGTTTGATGACTTTTCTGCTTTAAAGGCTTGACTAGTCTACGCATGTAGAAACTTCACGAACTCGGTGATTTGAAGTGTTCAAATTGGTGCGTCAATTTTTTACAGCATGAAAGTTTATAAACACAGTGTTCCTTCTCCTTTGACTGCCGTTCTTTAAAGCACCTTGGGATTTCTAAAATGCAATCATCTTTTTTAAGAAATTTCAAATAAAAAATTTCTTTGTCTTTTAATTTTCTCGCTGACGCTGTTATG